GGGGGGGGGTCTCTTCCCCAGGTCCCCTCTCAGCTTCGAGTCCTCTCTGATAGCCGCGGCATGTTCAGGGTGTAGCTTCCTCCGCCATTCCGTGTCCTAGGCTAGGAGTATAATACTGAGCTGGAATTGGAGGAGGGGGCTCTGGAGGCCGCCTTCTCCCCACTTGGGGTTGTGGTGGGCCAGGGATCTGGGCTGAGGTGCCAGAGGCGGAAGGCCCACTGGAGCTTTGCCAGTGCCTGTACATGGCTACTGAGTGGAGATGGGAACAGGCTGGGGTGTCGTGAAGGTCCCAGCTTCTTGGGGCAACCGACAGCCTTGCAGCTGGGGGGGGGGGGTCTGAGTCCCTCCTTCAACCTGACCTGGCCTGATTCCACCTTGCCACCCCCCCACACCCCACCCCTCCACTTCCCACCTTCCTTCTCTCCTGGTCTGGTCAGTATTTGGCCAAGCACCAACCTGGTCAGGTGTGTGCTGGTGCGGAAGTCCAGCCTCAAGTGGGAATTCCTAGGCCGGGTGGTGGGAGGGGAGGTTGGTTCCATCGCTGGGGACATTGGGGATGGGTGTTCCTGTTGGGGTAAAGACACAGAACCCTCACCCAGCTCCCCCTTCACCCCTTTCCCTGCCCCTGTCTGGTTTTAGGGAAGTGGATCTCAAAGAAATGGACAGAGGATGCTGGAGGGATGGGGGTGGGGGGGTGGATTTCCCCACAATCCTGGCCCCAGTTGGGGGGAAGAAAAAGGAGGGGTTGATTGCCCCTGAACCCAAGAGAAGGAGGCCTAAGCAAACCCCATTGTTTCCCTCTCTGGAGCTGGCGTCTGCCCCTCTCCTGGGGCCCCCACCCCAGCCAAACCCCAGCTGGGCTCTGGCGCCAGCCCCTCTTCTGACCAAGGGGTTGTTGGCTCCCTGGCCCCCAGGTGGGCAGGGGCCCCCTGGGGGTTTCTAATGGCATCATAAGGCCCAGAACCCTCCCCAAGGCCCTGCTCTGAGCCAGGAAGACCAGAGGAGGGCCAGTTGGAGGAGGCCAAGGCTGAGGCTGGGGGGCCGGGGCCTTTGTGGCCAGTGCCTCCCAGTGACCCAGTGGCGGGCCGGGCCTCTTGCACAGCACGACATGCCTGGCCTTCTCCCACGAGGCCCCCTGCCCTGGTGACCTGGGTTCAAGTTAGGTTCCACCCCATCTAGCTGCATAACCTGACTGGGTTTTTCCTGAGTCTCATCTGCTAAATGAGCTAATTAATATTGATTCCTGCCTGAAAATGAGATTATGCCATCCAATTGGCACTCAACAAGTGTCAGCCCTCCATGCTAGTGGGCATTTTGCAGCTGGTTTCTGTTTAGAGCATCTTCCCAGTACTGTCCTCGTGACCACCTGCTCTGCCTACTTTCTGGTGGAGAGCCTGGCACTGAGGAAGGCAGGCTGGCTTTCCTGAAGACCCAGGGCAGTCCGAGACTAAGGCTCGGCTGGAACCCAGGGCTGCGTGTGTTCATTCCTCTACCTCCAGGCCCTCCCCCGGCCCAGCGGTCAGCTTCACCTCCGCCCCTCCCCTCCCTGGCCCCAGGCAGCGCATTCTCCATCCTGCTCACCCCCTTGGCACACAGCATGTCATGGGCGCTTTAGTGAGGAGTTAAGAAGTGGACACCAGCCAGTGAGTGTGTCCAGCCCAGGGCCAGTGGGAGAGCGTGGCAGGACACTGAGCATGGGCTCCTCCAGGACACCACGTGGTGACAAGGCCAAGTCTGGGAATAACGCAGGACCGTGTCTTGGGCACCGCATGGCTGACCTGTCCCTCCTACTCCAACAGCCCCTGGCCTTTTCCTTGTCCAGGCCCAGTTTAACCCCATGGTTGCTGCTCCATTGGGCGTCCACCCGTCCTTGGTTTGAATCCCGGCTGGGCCTTCTTAGCTGTGTGCCCCAGACTGGGCACCTAGCTCCCCGAGCCTGTTACGATGCTGGCTGCGCCCCTGCCCAGGGCTGTCGTGGACCCACGGGAACCAGTGGGCGCTGAGGGTTTCGAGGGCTGCCCGGAGCCGCATTCATGCAGCACTGCTTCACTGCTGCTGGGGGGATGCGATGTCGGGGGCAGAGGAGAGCCAGCCTGCAGAAGGTGCCAGAGTCAGCACCGCAATTTGACTGTCCCTGAAGCCCCGCGCAGAGTGGTGCCCGTGATGCCTCACTGCTTTGGTTTTCGAGGGTGGGGTCGGGAGCCATCCCCCTGGGTCCCAGAGCCCAGAGCCCTGTGTGTGCTGTCCTGAGCACACGGGGAGGGGGGGCAAACCAGAGCAGAGACTTCTTCCCCCCACCTTGCTGCTTAGTTCAGAGCCACCCCCAGTAACGGAGAGGCTGGGCTGGGGGCAGCGTGGAGAGGGCGTGTGATGCCGCGACAGGTGTCGGGAGCGTTGTTAGTTGGCGGCGTTTGGGAGAAATAGTTTCTGATTCCAGAAACGCTCCAGCCAGCTACTCCAGTTATCTCTAGGTGTGCTGGGGGAGAGGTTTCACTTTCTTCACCTGCTTCTCTTTATTTGACGTCATATTTCTCCAGCCAGCGTGGTTTACTCCCACAACTTAACAAGTAATTAAATGTTCAGTGAAAGGGATGTGTCCTTTAGGAAAGTAAAGGTGGGCCCTAGGCAGTGGCTCTGTGGAGCAGGTAGGTGGAGCGAGGGGCGACGGGAAGGTACGAGGAAGTAGAGAGCGCTGCCCTGGTTGAGAAACCAGCCTGTCCCAGCAACCCCACTCCTCTTGCTTACAAGGAGACCAGAGAGGGCGAGCAACTTCCCCAGAGACACACAGAAGGTGAGTGGCAGGGTGGGCGGGACCCAGGCCCCATGACGCGCCAGCTGGCTGGGGGCCTGTTCTTTGTCCCCCTCCTCCCGGCCTCAGGGATGAGAGGTCGGGCCAGTAAGAAGTGCAAAAACCACCTTAAACCACCTTCCTTAAACCCGCACAAGGTGGTACACACCTAGCTGCTCCATCATTCATTCAAGAGAGTCGTTCCTGAGGAGCCACGGGTCTGGCTGGCGTGCAGGCAGCCATGGGACAGCGAGGGAGAGGGCGGAGGCCTCGTGAGACAGGCAGAGGCAGGCAGAGGCGTTGGAGACTCAGGCCTGGGGCTGGAAACATTCGTCCCAGGTCAGGGGGAGGAGAGAAGTGAGAAGGGACCACCGCCCCACAAAGCAGTGGGTCAGGGTGGCCCCGGCCTGCAAGCATGTGGAGGCCCTGAGGGCTGCTGGCCTGTTCCCATGAGAACAGTGGGCACCACGGGCTCAGCCAGGAGCAACAGCCGCAGGCAGATATCTTGGGGGGAATCAGGGAGGGTGGACAGGGAGGCAGGACGAGACACAGGCACCCCACTGGGGAGAGAGCTGAGATTGTGGAGGCAGGAGCCACCTTGTTGGGGGGGGGGGATTGGGATAAGGGCAGAGGAGGATAGGATTCCTGGACAGGGCTGCACCCTGGGGGGGCAGGGGGGTGCCCTGTCGGAGAGGAGAGGGTTGGAAGGTGGGGTGACGAAGTTAAGAGCAGTCTCAAGAGAGACTGCTGAAGTGGAGTTTGGTGATGGGGGCGGGCGCGGGCGGGCTGCTAAATTAGAGGGTTCAAGTGGGGGGATTTAGGTCTAATGCTCGGAGGAGAAGATTCGCCTGGGGAGTCTCAACTCAGAGAGAGAGGCCCAGGGCAGGACAGCTGAAGGGAGAGGCCTCAGGCCAGGGGGGACCAGCACCTGGTCAGCGAGGGACAGCAGGGGAAAGTGGTTGCTGCAGGAGCAGCCCAGCCCAGCCCAGCCCCAAGCCCAGGACAGCACCCTTCCCCCCCCCCCACCCCGCCAGCCCCCATCCTGCTCCTGAAGAGCTCCCAGGATGAGGACAGTTGTCGATTCCTCTACACAACCCCATTATGGCCAAGGCAGGATTTGAACCACTTCTTTGATGCCAGAGCCTAGAAATTGGTCTTTGTATTCTTGAGACTGTGTCACAACTCCGTTATAGCTTGTAAATTGGGTTGTTGCCACCACGTTCACCTCGAGGTTCTTACCCTTCCTGGGATGCCACCTAAGTCCCCTGGGCCCTACTTTTGTATTCATTCAAAACATCTCTAAGAGGGCCTCCCTGGTGGCACAATGGGCTGAAGCACAGCACTACGAAGCCATGCAGCAGGAGTTCAGTCCCCAGCCAGGGAGCTGACCCACAGGGCACAGCAGACCTCCCCTGTTCGGCCCGCTGCTCCCCTCAGCAGTGTACTTCAGCAGCTCTGTCTGTTCTGCTCCCTGCTCTGTCTTTGGTAAATCCCAGCACCTCTGGTCTACACCCCAGTTCTTATATCCATAAATAAATAAATCGTTTAAAAATATATATCTCAGGCCCAAGCCTGTGGGCCTTGGCTGGTTCTGGTCCTGGTGATGCCAGAGGTGTTCCTGGGGCGCTTCCAGCACCTTTCCTACCAGTCCTTCCAGTGGACATTATTTAGTGCCTAGACATCCAGGGTCCGCGCGTAGATCAGAACAAGGTATAACGAGTCATGCCCTCAGGAAACAGCTCCGTGGGGGCCCAGCTCAGAATAGGCCTGTGCTGGGTCAGTGTGACCTGGTGCACGAATCTGTCATAGAGAGCTGGGGAGAAAGAGCTTCCCCGATGCCACGGCCTCCCTCACTGAGTTTGTGTCAGAGTTTCTTCCTAACACTGACCTGCCGTGTAAAGCCATCGCTCACAGTCTGCCTTTTTGCTCATTTTAAGCGTTACTACTGAGACCTCATATCCACCAGACTGCATGCCACCCCATCCAGGAACGCAGATGGTCTAACCCTCCCCTGAGATCCACCCCGTGGTTGTCTTTTATCAGTTGTTTGCTTTTATGGGCTGGACGCACCCTTGTGTATAAAAGGTTTTCCCACACATCCTTGTGTAAAGGTTTTCCCACACGTGGAACTGTTTCCTCAGGGGAGTTTCTCACAGCTCAGATGCTCCCAAGGTCCATTTGCTACATATTAACACCAAGGCGTGAATATTAACACCCAGGCTTGAAAAAATTCAGACATATTGTAGCCCCCTGGTAGGATGGTCCCTGGGGACTTGTTTCTCAGGTTGGACGATTTTTCCCTAGAGATCACCCCAGTGTGGACATGGCCTGAAGGGAATCCCAGACCAGAACAAACCCAACTTGACCTTTGTCCTGGAACTGCGAGTGGACTGGAGAGGGTTCTGAGGAATAGGCTGGGGTTGCCCCACCCCCATGTTTCAGCCAGCACCACCTTCCCAGAGGCCTCCTCTCTCTGCCTGTCTGATACGGCTGGGGAGCCAGAAAGTTGCTTTGAGAGGGGAGCTGACTTTGAGACTTCCAAGGGGAAATCTAGAACATCTCGGGCCACTGCGGGTTCATCCACTCAGTACCATTTATTAAGTTCCTCTCACAGCGCTGACTGAGAGACGGGACGCTGCCTGGTGCACCAGCTGCCTCTTGGGGGGGCCACACTGGGCCCAAAGGTCACATCACAGAGAGCTGGGGGGGGACCCAGCAGAGGGGCTCGGAGCCAGGAGCGGGGTGTTTGGCTTGGCTGGAGGGGTCCTGCTGGCTTTGCCAAGGTGAGACTGCTGCTGAGGAAGGTGGTGCAGCAGGAGCAGGTGCTGGGGAGAAAGGGAGGGCCACTGAGCCCGCAGGCCAGGAGGGAGGAACCCTCTTTTCCCTGAGGGCCGGGGAGGGTGAAGGCAATCTGAGCGGTAAGTTGGAAAGACCAGATTGGTGTTTCAAATACTGCTTTGGGCTGCCTGCTGGAAAAGGAACCGTGGGGTCCAGAGCAAATAGGGGACCCGCAAAATAGGGGACCCGCTCTTTGCTCGGCACAGAGGGTGGCAGAGACAGACTGGCCCCAGAGACCACAGATGTCCTGTTGCCAGAGGGCCTCAGGGGGCGGCATGGTCAGGGCCAAGGTCACCCGCTGGCACCCTGGCCCCCTCCAGCACAGGCAGGAATGGAAAGATTCAAGAGCAGTCCCTGGGCAGCCTATGCTCTGCTCAAGCCTCCACACTTCTTCATTTAACCCTTTGCATGCACTTTTTTTTTTACACCGTTCCATCATTTTGTGCCTTTTCCATTTCGGTTGTGCCTTTCCCATCTCGGTTGTAATCCCCTTGGGCTTAACCCAGCCTGCCACAGGTCTGGGGAAGGAGACGGCAGGTGCTGTGACTGAGGAAGGCCACGAGTTAAACATGGGGAGGCCAGGGCTTGCGAGGAAGGAGAGCTGCTTGTGGCTGGGAGCCTGGAGGGTGGTGTTTCACGGGCACGGAGGCACCCACTGGGCCAGGAGCAAGCACTGGGCACCGAGGGAGAGGAGGTAGTGTGGGGAGAGGAAGCTCATGCACAGAACGACCCCAAAGATGGGGAGGTCTCGAGAGACCACGCGTGCCAGAGTTGTCAGGCTGCTTCCACAGAACCATCTCAGCGCTGGCTCATGTTCCCAACCTCCAGGGCTGCCACCTGTGTGAGGCGGCGGGGTTCGGGGTGAGCCCCTTCTGGGGGCTCAGCTTCCTTCCTTCCTCTCCACCCACCTGCCACCACCATTTCCCTGCCCCTTGCCTGAACCTGGAGCCTGTCTAGCCTCCCCTCCAGGGAGGGCGGCCTGGGGCCTTGGCGGGATGCCCACGACTCCTGCATGTGGAGAGGCAGGAAGAGAGGCAGCCTAGCCGCAGGACTCAGTGGCCAGGCCGTCCCCCTCACCCTTGGCGGTGACCTCCACACCCCACTGTGGCCCTCAGCCAGCACCCTGAGGCGGGTGGGCAAGAATGTGTGCCCCCACTTAATGTGCGGGACACTGAGCCGCCTCGTCTCTGCGCCTGAACGGCTTCACAGTCAAAGGCCAGGGCCCAGCAGCTGCTCGGGATGCAGTGGGCCCTGGGAAGGTCCTCAGGCCGCTGCCTCGGAGCTGACCAGTGAGGGTCTTCCGCCTCACTTATGAGACACACCTGTGAGGCGGCCTCGTGGCCTCACTTATGAGACACACCTGTGAG